AGCCCCGGCTTCCCCACAGCCCTCATGGCTGCTCTTCACTTTTCTGCAGTCTTAAATAGATGTGTAACCGCTTTTTATGGTGTTAATGAGATAAGAGGTGATGCTGGGTTTTAGTTCCCAGAGGGCAGGCTCTGATTTTTACCTCCTTAGGAACAAGGTGCCCCGGCATCAATGGTCCTTGGAGACAGACTTTGGGTTGTGTTCTAACTTTTACTTATTTTTACATCTTCTGCGGGGGAGGGGGCCAGATTAGATGCCACTAGGCATGGGGAAACAAAGCTAAATAAATTAAATTTGACCTGAAATCAAGATACAATGATAGTTAAGAGCCATATCATAAACAAGAAGTAGCTAAACAGAAATTTTGATTACAGGATTTTAAGATGCACACGGTATATACTCACTCATATAGACATATAATACAGGATAAACCTACTAAAATCTGTACACCTAAAGAAACTAATCAAGAGGGAGGACTCTGGCTAAAATGCTCAATCCCTATCCAGAAAGGCAAAGAGGATGAACATCAGAAGGTGAAAAGAGGGAACAAGTCAGGAGCCTGACACAGAGGACCTCTGAAAAGCTCTGCCCTGCAGACTATCAATGTAGATGCTGAGACTTATGGGCAACCTTTGGGCAGAGTGCAGGGAATCTTAGGAAAGAAGTGGGAAATAGTAAGATCTGGAGTGGACAGGAACTCCACAAGGAGAGCAACAGAACCAAAAAATCTGAGCACAGGAGTCTTTCCTGAGACTGATACTCCAGCCAAGGACTATGCATGGAGATAATCTAAGACCCCTGCACAGATGTAGCCTATGGCAGTTCAGGGTCCAAGTGGGTTCCATTGTAATAGGAGCAGGGACTGTCTCTGACATGAACTGATTGGCCAGCTCCGTAATTACCGCCCCTGAGGGGGAAGCAGCATTACCAGGCCACAGAAGAAGACAAGGCAGCCACTCCTGATGAGACCTAATTGACTAGGATCAGAAGGAAGGAAAAGAAGTCCTCCCCTATCAGTGGACTTGGGGAGGGGCATACGTGCAGAGGGTGAAGGAAGGGAGGGATTGGGATGGGAGGAGGGAGGGAACCACAGGGGGGATACAAAGTGAATAAAGTGTAATTAATAAAGAAAAAAAGATAACTTTTAAGGATATCTTTGGTTACCATACAAATAAATGGGTTTATTGTGACATTGTCATTCTCGCATGGATAAAGTGATGGTGAGGAGCCTGGAAGTATAGGCCTCATTCACATCCGGGGCCCCAGCTTCTTGACACCATGAGAGGGTGGCTCAACACTCAGGACTTACGGCTAGAACCAGGAAGGGCTTTTCCCAGCTAAGCAGGCCCAGCACTGGCCCGGAGAGTCATAGGCGACTCCGCGTCTGCTGACAGCTGGAGAAACGCGTTTAGATCGCTTGTGTCTGTGACGGTAGCTGTGTGAACACTGACTCCCAGGAGAGTGGCATGCATTCATCCCGTTTAGAAGTGAGCCTGGCTTGGGTTGTGTGAGTGTTCTCCATAAGCTTGCCAGATCAGATAAAGAATCCCAGCTATGCCTGAAGATTTTTAAATTTTATTTTTATTGTTTTAAAATTATGTGTCTATGTGTATATGTGTGCAGACATAGGGGTATGTGCACATTAGTGCCGGGTTCTGTGAATCCAGAAGAGGGCGCCAGATCACAGGAAGTTGGAGTTACAGGTGGTTGTCAGCCACCATGTGGGAGCTGGGAACCAAACTCAGGTCCTCCTGTGATTCCTGAGCCGTGTCTCCAGCCCTGAACTTTGAAGCAGTTTGGTTATGTATGAAAAACTGCTGACTACAGGACTTTAAGGGAGTCCTCAGAGGACACAGAACAAAAGTGACCAGGCACAGGACAAGTGAAAAATATACAGGACATAGGAAAAGACACGCAGTCCACATAGCCTCCCTCACTCTACAGAGCTAAGTGTTCACCTCCCAGTGGCATTCTTCACATTTGTTAATTTTGTTTTACAGTACTGGGGATCAAACCCAGGACTTGTAAAAGCCAGGCATGTGCTCTGCCACTGCACACCCACAGACTCACATATCTATTACATCCTCTGACTTTCCAGCCTTTCAATTTTATTAGTAGCTGACTATTGACCCCAGCTCACTGCCTTTCTTGGTTCTATTTTTTAAACACCCTATAGCATAAGAATAGGAAAATGAAAATTCCTATGCTCAGGTTTTAGACAGAGAAGTTTTTTATTTGTTTGTTTAGTTTATAACCCAGAAAATGATTTGCCTTTGTGGGGGATGAACAGCACATGAAGGCCCAAGGAAATGAACGCAGCTGGAGGCAGTGGATGTGGAGGAGATGGCATGACTCGAGTTTCATTTTTACCACTTTCTTCTTCTTCTTCTTCTTCTTCTTCTTCTTCTTCTTCTTCTTCTTCTTCTTCTTCTTCTTCTTCT